TTTTTAACATTATAGTTATACAATTAACATTAACTATATTAAGTATTATAGGCGGTAGTTGTCCTAATATGTTGTGGTAGAGGTCTAAGCTTCAATTGAAGTACAAGTAAAATAATTTTTCCCACTGCTACCTACCCTTGGTTTGTATATTGACATCTCTCCCTACCTCAGTGCCTGTTATTGAAACTATGTATTTATAATTCTCGTTGGAACCATGTTGGTGTAAATCGTGACTGTCATATACTGAGGGCCAAGATTGTGTAATATTTAAAAACACGATTAACCTTTGCTTTAGTTGGATTACTCTATACTCTACTGGTACCCAAGTTACACACCTGAACTCTCTAGCACCTGTGTGCTCTACTCCCCAAAGAATAGTAATAGGGACTAATGCTAATAGTAATAGTAATAGTACTAATACTAAGTGTAGAGCTAATACTAATACTAGTAATGGCTCTAGGCCTATTTATTTTGACATACTTGTAATTTAGACCTTGTTTTCTTCGTACGCGTAGACCTAGGCTATACGAAAACATACCTGTTGGTTTAAAACACCAGTGGCAGTGTCACCACACAATACTCCTATGGTTTCGCGATTTTCTACTGTGTTTTTGTGTACAGAATCAAGAAGGGGGGTACTATGGTGGCTCAGGAGGGCCACATCGCACTTTCGAAATTTTCATTTTATTTCCGGAATTTAATTTCAAAATCGAAACGCAATTTCAATAAAAATGCAATTTCAAAATAAAAACGCAATTTCAAAATAAAAATAAAAATCAAATAAAAATAAAAATGCAATTTCAAAATAAAAACGCAATTTCAAAATAAAAATAAAAACGCAATTTCAAAATAAAAATAAAAACGCAATTTCAAAATAAAAATGCAATTCCAAAATCAAAACGCAATTTCAAAATCAAAACGCAATTTCAAAATAAAAATGCAATTTCAAAATCAAAACGCAATTTCTTTTTCAAAATCAAAATCAATTTCAAAATCAAAACGCAATTTCAAAATCAAATGCAATTCCAAAATCAAAACGCAATTTCAAATTCAAAACGCAATTTGAAAATCAAAATGCAATTTCAAAATCAAAACGCAAATCCATTTTNCCAATCAGAAGGCGCTAAATTCTTCGCTATGTTATACCGTTTGGGAAAAAAAAATTCGCCTGCGGCACATCATTACGTCCTATACTGTCATTCACAATTAACGCGCGCGCGTGAGAGACACTATGCGATCCCGGAGGGGCAGTCGGCGAGTTATGGTGCTGCTGTGATGGAGTGTCGGCAGAGTCGCTGCGACGTATAATGACAATCGTTTGAACTGTTACTGCATTAATTACAGTATAAGATTTCGCTCGAAGATGGCTTTTAACATCCACTCACGCGTATATGTAAATATGTGCGTGCGTGCTTGCGTGCGTGCGTGCGTGTGTGGGGTTATTTGTGTACGGATATATATATATATATATATATAGAAATTTATTTATTTAGAAAACGTTTTGGTTGATGATATGAAAGTTAATTGCATATAAAACGATTTGTATTTAACTGCGGAATTGGCCCGTAATACCGACAGAGGCAGATTCGTCATACCGATAGCTGGCTGCTTATATACTGTGCGACTGAACGGTTTCATTGCGGATGCGATCTCAAATGCATAATCGCTTTCTCGCTCGACAGTCTAGCATGTAACATTTCTAGCCTATTGCGCCGGATGAAATCGATAGAATTTCTGCTATTTAGATTTCGCCTGCGATGCGCGTGACTTCGCGATGCGTGGGAGAGCGAGAGTGAGAGAGAGAGAGAGAGAGAGAGAGAGAGAGAGAGAGAGAGAGTGAGAGTGAGAGTGTGTGAGAGAGAGAGAGA